TGAGCTCTGGTGCCATCCAGGTTGGACCCTTCCCAGCCCTGGCACCATCTAGGGAGGGGCAAAGGCCTGGGTGACGCTTGCTTGGAGGTTGACTGTATGTACCCTTACTCTTTGTTTCTTGCCTTTGTGTCTGTCCCCTGGTACTTGCTGAGAGAAAAAAGAAATTTGAGCAAAGCAGGAGGTGGAAAAATGGATCCAAATCCCAGTGTTCCCTGCTCTATTCCACACCTTTCCTTTAGTGGTGGGAAACCTTAACCTTGCAAAGTGAATGTGTTCCCCCTTTCTGACCTCTAGTGTATTTCACAGAAAAAACTCCCAATAAAACCTGTGTTGAAAAAAAATTTTTTTTTTATTCAAACCAACAAAGAGCTGCTTGCTACCTTGAGGTTAGTAGATGTCCTGCTGACTACACCCCCACTGCTTCCCAGAGCTTTACTGTTGTTGTGTCGCCCCAAATCAGAACCAGCTCCTCCCAGCTGATCCCCCAGCAGGTTCACACTGGAGAAGGCCCATCATTGCCCTGTGGAGCAGCTAGTGGACTGCATGCCTTTGGTAAGGCTGCTCACGACTATGCCAGCAGAGCTCCCTAAATCTTCGCTATTGTTATGAACCACTGAGTCAAAACTGACTCACGGTTGACCCTCCGGGGGATTTTCAGAAGCTGTTTAATCGCATGGGAGGAGATTGCCCTGCGCGGCTGGCAGTGGCTGGTACCAGGTTTCAAACCGTGTGCCTTCAGGCTGGCAGCACAACTCCTTACCACTAAGCCACCTTAAAGCTTTATTAAGAAAATGTAAAAATTCTGCTGCTTTGTCCATCTCAGTGAGGCAGAGCCTTGAATTGCCAATCCAACTCACTCGACTCTCCTTCTCAAGACTTTCCTTTCTCATTATAGACTGCCCCAAAGACAGTCTCCTCCTCATTCCCAAATCGGAGGTGCCTATAACAGGTTGGACTGCTAACTAAAAGGTCGCCATTCAAATCCTCACCCCCCCACCCCCAAAGATTTATATGTCAGAAACCTGCCCAAGACTTGCTGGGAGTCAGCATGGACTCAGGGGCAGTGGTGTGATTTTTACATCTTTGCAGAAAGGACTGCCTCACCTTAGCAGCTGAATTACTCCCTGAATTACTAAGTGTTTGGAGCAAAGCCCAGCTGAGACCTGGGGAGGGGGTCCTGAACGCAGCCTCTGCAGGAGCAGAATGAGAACGTGCTAGATGAGGTGCAGGGAGCTTTGGTTGCTCACTGGTAAGGAGTTGAACTGCCAACCCAAAGGCAGGCAGTTCAAATCCACCCGCTGCTCTGCAGGAGAAAGACAGGCAATTTCTCATGCAATTTTATTCTTTTTAAATCTGCTGGTGCATTAGCTATGAGTCAGTTCTGACATAATAGTAGGTAACAGCAGCCAGGGTGCAGGAGGGCAGGTACTACTTCTCCATCCTTCTGCCCCCTGCCCACCTTGGGCAGTTAGAGACCACTTCCCCCCCACCAAAGGAACCCGGTGGACCCAGAAGAGACAAACATCCGGGGCCTCCTACCAGCCATGTGCCTCCCAGGGCCATGTGCCCACCAGCAGGGTACATGCTGGAGTCTCAGTCTGGTGCCCCCAGAGAGCATTCTGTCCCCCCACCCCAGGTCTTAGTCCTCCTGAACCCACCGCCCTTGAGTAGACAGGGAGTCCTCATGCGCTCTGCCAAGAGGATAATGGAGTCGAGTGGCAGAGACGAGCTACAGTGATTATCTCCGAGCCTCTTAATGGACAGGTCCTGTGGAGGGGGGCAGGTGGCGGGTGCTCGCTGGAGAAGGGCACCGCGGGGCACTCAGTGACACGCCCTCAGAGGTGAGCTTTCCTGCAGCGCCCACCACTTAATGGATGGGTCCTGTGGAGGGGGTCAGGCAGCCTGTGCTTGCTGGAGAAGGGCACCATGGGGGGACTCACTGACACCCCCTCAGAGGCAAGCCTTCCTGCAGCGCCCGCCACCACAACTGCTCCTGAGCTGTGGGGAGGGGTCACAGGGTGCGGTAGAGAGAGCCCCCTCACTCCGTAGCTGGAGGGGAGTCGCAGGGAGGGCCTTTGGAAAGGAAAGCGATGTGCTGACCATGGGGACCAAAGGGAAGGGCAGGGAAATGGGTTAGGACAGTGTACCCAGGTCAGCCTTTCAAGTCCCTGATGGTCCCAGGAGGGAGGCTCTGATGCAATTGTTTCTATGTCCTTTAGACCCCGCTCCTTGTCACCTCTCTCACAGGGCATCAGCTCAGGCCTGGGGTGACAGGGTCCCCCAGGTTATCAGTGACTCTCCAAGAGCAGTCTCCTTGCTCAGAGTGGCAGTCTGCGTGGCCACCTACTGCTGTGGATAGTGGGAAACAGAAGGGTAGGGGGAGCCCAGAGCTGGGGAGGGGACTGGTTGCTCATGGTAAGTGATTCCTTTGGGACCCCTAAATTCCTGCTGGGGGTCAGTGAGGTGAGGGAGGGAAAATGCTTTCCTTCCTCTCTCCCTCTCCTCCCCACATCCCCCATTCCTTGCCCTCCCCCTCCTTCTTCCCACATCTCCATTCCTACCCCTCCCCTTCTCTCCACCCATCCTTCCCCTCCCCTCTTTGCCTCCCTGGTCCTCCTCCCCTCTCTCTTCTCACCCATTTCCCCGTCCCCCTTCCCTCCTCCTCTTTTCTCATCTCCCCTTTCCCCTCCGTTCAGTCTCTTCCACATTCCCTTCAGCCCACCCTCTCTCCCCCAAGCTTCTCACCCACTCTCCCTCCAGCCCCTCCCCTAGCCCTTACCCAGCCCTTTTCCACTTCCCTCTGCTCCTTCTCTGGCTCCCTCCCCTCAAACCTTCTCTTTTCACTCCCCTCTGCAGAAATTTCCACTCAGCATCTTCTCCACTGGCATGTCACTGACTGATCCCGAGTTCAGAGCACCCTCTAACCGTAGCCTGTGGGTTCCACATGTGGCCCATGTGGGTGGAGGGTGCAACTGATGGAAGGGGGCTTACACCTCTTTGCCCTCCCTGCTTTGCTGCTTTTGAGCATTGGAGACAAGGTTTGAGACAAGAAGCCTTCCCCCACACACACAGGCTGCGTCTCCAGAGGTGGACTCCTCTTCCCCTCCTCCCCAGGGCTGAGGGGCTGAGTGGCACAGCATGTGCCCCAGTGATCTGCCCACCTGGTTCACCCCAGCACTGAGAGCCAGCTGAACTGTAAGAGGGTGGCCACCCCTCCCTGGGGTGCAAAGGGGGGCACTGTCTTGGGAGCAGAGGGTGCTGAACAATCTTTCTCTAAGCCTCAGAATAAAAAAGCCTGCCCTGAGGTGAGGTAGTGAGAGGTAGACAAGCTTGGAAGTGCAGCGGGGGCAGGAAGAGGCACTACAACGTCCTCGGACTCTGCTGGACCAGACAATGGGAACCTAGTGCTAGTAGTTGCCCCAGTCTGGGCTGGAGACCCCAATAGTGGCCACAAGTGGGACCACACTGAAGGGCGGCCATTAGTCCTCATGTAGGCTCATCATGTGCTCAGAAGCACAGAGGCACCTGGTCTCCCACATATGGACAAAGTAGTACTTGTCAAGTAGGAGGTGAGCACAGACGCAACTGCAGTCTGTCACCCCGTGTGTAGAAAGTGAACGGGCTTTATTGAGAAAGGGGATAAAACCAGCTCACAGCCAGCCCCGTGGTCACTGGTAACCCGCCAGCTGCAGGACAGAGGGGTAGCGGGTACGGTGGACCATGCAGTTCTGGCGGTCGATGAAGAGGCTGTTGCTCTTGACGGCGATGTCCTTCTCCAGGGTCATCCGAGTGTCCTCCAGGTTCCGGAGCGACTGCTCCGCTTCCAGAAGTTTCTCCTTGAGTGCCTCCAGGGACTTGTTTAGCTCCTTCACCTCACACACCAGCCTGCAGAGAGCAGAGGGGTACATGAGCAAGGTTCAGGAATGGAGCTGGAAGCCCAGATGGTCATGACAGTCCCTACAAAGTAGTCCCCAAGGCTCGTGCTAGGGTGGCTGAACCCCCTGAGGATCGTGGCATCTAATTAAGTCAGACCCTGGAAACCAAGCAGAGGAACCCCTTGTCTGTGCGCCCGAACGAGATCTTATTCAACAGTGACACCGTGTGTCATCATCTAGCAATGACAGTAGTATCCTAACCAACCTCTTAAATCCCTTTTCTTCTGCTGGGAATTAGTAGGTCCAGTGAACCCTTGGGAAAGGAGCCTGCCTGGGAGTCATAATGTGTTAAGTATTGCGCTGCTAATTGAAAGCGCAGAAATTAGAATCCACCAGCGACTCAAAAAGAGGAAGACAAGCAGTCTCTTTTCTTAAAGATTTACAGTCTTGGACACTTGGAGGGTCCCCAGGAATCAGAATGAACTTGAAAATGAGTGGGTGGGATCTTTTCCAACCGAGGTCTCCAAGTTTCTTGAGCAAATTGAGGGTCAGGGAAGTCCTCCTCGAGAGTGAGGCTTTGCTTAAAAGGGTAACTGGGTTCTCAGTAAATGGGAAAATAAAAGCAGGGTCCCATCTACGCCCCAACCTGGAACGCTGGTCACACCCATCTCATGAGACTGGTGACTGGCATACAGGGGCAACTGGTGGATAGAGTGACCCTCCCTTGGCCAGCTGAACCTCTAGCTCAGCGATCGTTCGCTCGAAAGACAGGGGACCCTCCAGAGGGCAGATCCCACGAGGTGAGTGAGAACACGTGTCCCCAGGACTCAGGGCCCTGACACTAGCCCTGCCCCTTGCCGGGCACCTAAACTGCGCGGTGTCTCTGCACAGCTCCACGTTGGGCCGGTGGGAGCGCTGGTAGAGGCGGGTCTGAGCCACTTTCAGGGGCGCCTCCTTGTCCTTGATGGCCTGTTTCAGGGCCGCGATGTTGTGCTCCTGGTCCGTGATCTCCCGCAGCGCCTGGGGCAGAACCGGGCCAGTTGAGTCTTCAGCAGGGCTGCACCGGGGGCAGCATCTCTCCAGCCTGTACCCCAGTCTTCCGATGGCCAGGCTGGAGGCCTCTGAGTCTGTCCATCAGCCTGCCCTACTCACTGTCCAGAGCGAAGTGTAGAAGAAGGGAGATTGGTTCCATCTCTGACCCCCAGGAGGGCTCCCAGGGGCCAAAGTGGGCTGCAACTCTAGTCCGAGAACTCCTAACTCTGGTGGTCCCCAAATCTTGGCTGATTAGTCATCTCCCAGTGACAATACCAGCAAATCACACCCAAATCTCCTCTAGGATTGACAAAGACAATCTGCGTGAGGATGGGCGGGGTTTATAGCGGATAGGGCGTGGCCTGCGCGTGACACAGTCTAGACAGGGTTTGTGGCCTGGGCTGGCACAGGGGAGTTATCACTGCTCGGGCGTGGCCTGGGCGTGGCACAGGCGGGGTTTATCACTGCCTGGGTACAGCCTGGGCGGGGCCGGAGAAGTGGCCCCACCTTGAGCAGGTGGTGTTTCAGTTTGTGGAGCGCATCTTCCAGCTCCTGGCAGCGCTGGTTGAAGGCCAGGTTCACAGCGTCACACTGCATCCGCAGGTCCTGAGACGTGTCTCGCAGGATGCAGTCGATGAGCTGCCGCAGGTTGACAGAGGCCAGGCGCTCGCGCTCAGCTCGGCACAGGTTGTCCCGGCTGAACATGGCCCAGGTCTCTGGAGTGGAGGCACTGCAGGGGGCGGAGGTGGAGGTGGGGAGGAAGGCTCGTGCCACAGAGAGGGGGCAGCTTGCCGACAGCTCTGAACCCTCTTGCCCCCCCCCCCGCCTCGGCCACCCGTGTCACACAGCACCCAGCGCCCTATGCACCGTGGACTCCGTGCCCATGTCTCTTGCGCTTGGTGTATTGGTTACAGAGTCCGCTCTGAGAACTCAGTGATACTGTAGCTCACCCACTCCCATCACTCCTGAGACATGGATCTGAGGCCCACCCACTACCCCGCCCAATGTCCCAGGACTGGCCTGTGCACCGCACCTCAGGAGATCATGTCTGCTTCCGGTTCCCTCACAATCTATATCTCTTGTGTCTGTTACACCACTGAGCCCCCCCATAGGCTCTCCCTGGAGGCGTCTCAGGCGTCCCCCCCCCCTCCCCGTCCCTCTGGACGACAGCCCAGCACAGCTTCGTTGAGCGCTGACCGCACTCCCTCTGCCGCCCACGCTCAGAACTGCAACCTAGCTCCTGCCTGCTGACCAGTGAGTGAATAATGAGACTTTTGGGGCCAGAGCCGCTCCAGCAGTCTGTACCCAGACAGAACACAGGGACCTCTCACCACAGCCCGGGCCTACCTCTCCTCCAGCACCACTGAGTGTGGGTAGAACTGCACGTCGGTACTCTGATTGTGGTAGCGGGAGCAGGTCTCGTCGATGTTATAGGCCTCCACCTTGTCGGACCAGTCCATCTCACAGGTCTCCTTGTGTTGACGGTTCAGCCTGAGGGGTGGCGTGGGGGTGGGGCTGCGTCTATGCCGGTTCTGAGCCAGGCAGTGCATCCATCTTGGGACTGTGGGCACCCCACCCAATGACAGTGGGCACCCCATCCCAGGACACTGAGATCCTTGAGGTTGCAGTCCTGTCCCCAATTCTTCAGGAACCATCAGCTCACAGTCTCTGTTGCCCACTTGGAACCCACAGTTCCCAGGGTTCCCACCTGGTCAGCACTGTGCAAGAGCAGCTTCCCCAGCCTCCTAGGTACACAGGGCCTGGCTTTGAACATGGTAGGATCTACAGACAGCCTGACCTGTGTGTGTGTCCTCCCACCCCATGCTCTGCTGGGTGATGGTCCCAGGGCAGCTGGGGGCAGAGGTCATCCCTAGGGCAGCCCTGGAGGCACCGTGTCTGGTTGACCGCTTGCTTGATGGTCCTTTTCAGGAGTTCCTGGATGTTCCTGATGAGCTCGGCCTCCTGCAGGGGAGAGAACTCTTTGGGCACCAGCCTGAGCTTGCCTCAGGTGAGCACCCTTGTTTCCCTAGCTCTGAGGGCCCAGGCCCATGATGGCTGAGCTGGTGTGGCCCGTGGTCAGCTTCTCAGAAACTGAGGACACTCAGAACTGGGTGAGCCAGGCACCCTATTGTAATTTTTTCTTGGAAAACAGGGACCTATTTATTTGTCAGTGGATTAATTTTGGCCCTGGTACAAAATCAAACACAAACCCACTGCCATTAAGTCAATTCCAACTCAGGGCCACCAAGTAGTAGATCTGCCCCATAGGGGTTGCCAAGGCTTTAATCCCTCATGGCAAAGTACATGATGCATCAGTCTGGTAACAGAAAGGTGGGAAGTTTGAGTCTACTGTCCATGAGGAAAATGTACAGTTCTCCGCCCCCCTCCCCGCAATGAATCAGAATTGACCAAATGGCAGTGAGGTGGGCTTGCCTCTTCTTGTGGATCTTTCTGGAAGTAGCCTGTCTCATCTTTCCCCTGAGGACCAGATGAGTGTTTTAACCAATGTGTCACTAGGATTGCAAAGGGTTCGTTTCCCTCCCAGAGGTTTCTAGGGGCTGTTGAGGGGTTCCATCTGGAGGTGATTGAATACCATGTACTTAGGACTCAGATCCTATAGTTCTGAGGATCTTGGTTGGTGGCTTGTCCAGTGAGCTGGAGGCCACCTGCTCTCCCATTGGCCACACCTCCTGGGGGACCAGATGTCCCTCTGGGTGACCCTTTGTGGCTTCTCGCTACAAAGGTTTCCCCAGCTCTAAGAATACGAGGGATTATAATGTTTTTTTCTAGTGCACTGGTAGTTCAGGGTCCATGTGAGACCATTCTCCCGGGTGATGTGGGCATTCTCCTTGTCATACTAAGTGCCACCTGGGAGTGGGCCTAGTTCTTCTCTCCCATCTCTGGGTTCTGAGGTTTCGAAACATATTGAAAACAGCTAAACCCACTGCCTTCCTGTCCATCCTGACTCATATAGCCATCCTGTGTGACAGAGAACTGCTCCACAGGATTTCCAGTGCTTTAATCTTGTCAGGAGTGAACAGCTGGTGGGCTGGAACCGCCAGCGTTTTCGTTAGCCCCGTTCGTCGTTCATCGCGTAACAGGACTCTTGGCCTCATGTTTACGGTGATTTCACTACTGGATAGGTGGTTGGCGAGGTGTGGGCTGGGGAGGCGCCCAGAGGTCTGAGTACACCAAGTACACCTATCCTGGAGGGTTTATGAGGTGACCTGCTGGTACTAGAGGTGGTTCAGGGACAGGGCAACAGCCCGCCCCCGCCCCGACCCCGCCTAGCGCTGGTTTTGGCCCCGAATCTGTGTGCGCCGCACCTTCAGCAGCTCGATTTCCACGCAGTCACGCACGAGGTCCGGGTGCTGGCGGCGCTCGCGGCACTGCAGGTTGTCGGTGGCGATGGAGTAGGGCAGCGCCGTGGCGTCCAGGGCGCGCTCCAGCCGCAGCTTCTCCGCCAGAAGCAGGTTAGTCTCGGCCTCCAGGTCCTGGATCTCGCGCTGCAGCTCAGACTTCCAGCAGTGGGTGTCCTGCAGCCACTCGCCCAACCTGCGCGTGCTGTCCTCCTGCGTACGCCGCGCGAGTGCCTCTGTCTCGGTCGCCAGCTGCTTGCTCTCGTGGCGCTGCCGCTCCGACTGGTCACGGTCAGCGAAGGCCTGGTGATAGCGGGCATAGCTGTTCTGGAACCACTCGTCCATCAGGTACTTGGCGGAGCGGAAGCCGGCAGTGGCCAGGCCAGACGAGGTATAGGCGCCTGTGTTGCGCTCCACATCGTACACCTTGCACGGCAGCTCGCACACCGGCACTGCCTGCTGGGCCGGCTCTTTGGTCAGGAGCACGTCGCTCTGCGCCATGATGCGAGCTGCCTGATTGCCCGGGTTCAACCCTCCTGCGAAGTGGTACAAAAGACACCGGCGATAAATCAGTCTGCACCGCCCACGGCAGGACGCAGCTCCGGTTGCCCCAACAACGCCGTACGCGGGAAGCTACCTGGTTGCTTGGCAACAAGTGTGCCCCGCCCCCTCATTGATTTCTTAAAGGGCCAGGCTTCCAGACCCAGTCAAGTTCTGAAGTTGTAGCCAAGACATGACCCACAACCAGAGAAAAGAGCATCGATCGGAGAATGCTGGTTGGGAAATTTAGAATCATGGGAAACTGATATCACCAGACCCATGGGCAATGGAAATAAATCTTAGTGGGCTCTGGATACTCTGGGAGGTTCTTAAGGGAGAAAAGGGGTCATCTTCCCCTTGACAAAGTCAGCCTCTGACCATTGTTGAACTTTAAATGTTCTTCTCTTTTTTTATAAAGACTTCTTTTTATTATTAATTTCAATGAAAATTTACAGAGACTGGATTTCCATTTCATTCATTGTTGTACTTTTCTCCCCTCCCAACCCTCCTCCCCAGTACACTCCCCTCTTGGAAAAGTAAAATAAAAAATCTTTCATTGTTTTATAATCCCTCCCCCCAGGTCCACTCCACTATGCAGCCTTCGCTCTGCACTCCCGTCATGACAAAAATACCTAATCACATATCCCTTTTAGTTTTCTCCCTCGTCTGTTTCAATGCAGTATACACTATTTATCCCATCTTTCTCAGTCTCCCCCAACCCTGAGGTCAGCCCTGTTTTACAACAGTGGCACCATGCAGTATTTGTCCTTTTGTGACTGAGATACTTCACTCAGCATAATGTCCTCCAGAGTTACCCATTTTGAATAATATTGCATGAGTTCCTTGTCTTTCAATGCAGTGTAGTATTCCATTGTGTGAATATACCACAGCTTCTCTATCCATTCGTTTGTTGATGGGCACTTAGGTTGTTTCCAACTCCTTGCTATTATGAACAAAGTTGTGATAAACATGGGTGTGCATATATCTGCTTGGATGTCAGTTATGGTCTCTTTGGGGTATATTCCCAGTAGTGGAATTGTTGGGTCAAACGGTATCTCTATTTGCAACTTTTTGAGAAAGCGCCATACCGCCTTCCACAGTGGTTGCACCATTTTACACTTCCACCAACAGTGAATAAGGGTTCCATTTTCTCCACAACCTCGGCAGCATTTTGTTGCTTACTGTTCTGTTAAATTTTGCTATTCTGACCTGGGTGAGATGATATCTCATAGTTGCTTTTAAATATTCTTTTTAAAGATAAAACTATTTGAGGGGAAAACGAAGAAGGCATGACCCCTTGGAACACTCTTGGGCCCGCCACGGCCACTTCAGCTCCTCCACCCCGCCCACGTGTCATCAGTGGGAACATCTGAGTTAGTTGGTCCTTCCACTTCTCTCTCACCTTCATTTATTAGTTCACGCATTCGTTCATTCATTCATTCATTCCTGGGATGTTTCTCCTGCCCTCTGCCTGTGATTTTAATTAAGGTGTTGCTGGGTTTTGGAAGTAAGAATTTCTTCTTTGTGGAGTCACTAGGTTTGATGTCTGACAGATCTCTGCTCTGTCCTGGCTCATGTCTACTCTGGGGAAGAAGGGAAGGGAGGGTGAGTGACCAGCACGAGCTAGGAGCTGGGAAGGGTTGTGCATCCTCGGCTGCTGCTGCCCCACCTGGCCCTCTAGAGGAGCCTCCAGAGTCCTTATCCGGCTGCACGTTCCTAGCTCCACAACCCGTCCACAGCGGGTCAATGAGATCTATATTGCAAAGTTAAAATAAGCCTTGGAGCTGTCGGATCCCGAAATTTACCTCACAGAGGAGACAGGCTTCGTCCTGGGCAGGGTTCTCCAGGTCAGTCTGGCCACACTGGGTCAGGCTCAGGCTGACTAGGGTCGGATTCCGGAGATCAGAACTCTGAGCGCCGGAGGCGATGCTCAAAGTGAACAGCAGAGGGTACCGTTGACCGCAAAATATCTGGAGCACTTGGCTGCCTGAATTGCCTCCTGCTCTGGCTACCCCCATAATCTGCTGCCCCTACCCGGTTAGAAGGAAATGCATTTTCCCAGCCTGGGTCTCGAGGTTCATCCCCTCTACTTCATCTCTTGCGACTGTCTTCAACAGTGGCTGCGGTCACTCTAGCCCCAAGCCTCCAACACCTAGGCTGGGCTTGACACAAGGAACCCACCAGAGCACTAGAGTCCAGGAATACACCAGGGACCTTGATGGGTTCAAACCTGGAGACATTGGCAACTCTCACCTTGAAGCTTCAGCCTGAACCTGCCCTGCAGTGTTGGGTGCTGGGGAGCTGGACTATTGGGGTATCTAGTGTTGACAAAGATTGGATCTATATAATGAACTGCAAATAGTACTAACAAGTCCATCCTGGAAGAAGTGGAGTCAAGAGTGCTCCTTAGAAAGGATGATAGTGAAACTTGGTCTTACATGTTTTGGTCATGCTATCAGGAGGAGGGGTCAGTCCCTGGAAAAGGACATTGTATTTGGAAAAGTAGAGGGTCAGTAGAGGAAAGGAAGACCATCAGTGAGGGAAATTGACCTACCAACTGCGAGGATGCACTGAGGCACCACAGGGACTGTGAGGCTGGTGCAGCATCGGCAGGTTCACTCAGCTGTGCACGGGCCTGCTATGTGTTCGAAACAATTTGACAGCATCCAGCAACAAATAATAGATGACTGAGGTGCTGGGGTGCCGAGGTTCCAGTGTGCATGGTGGAAAGCGAGAGTGCTGGGGTATTGGGATACTGAGGTACTGGGTTGTTGGAATGCATAGTGGGGTTCTAGGATCCTGGGCTGTCAAGGTACAAAGGTTCTGGGAAGCTGAGGTGCCAGAGTGATGGGGGGTCCCTGCTGGGGTCATGGAATACTGAGGTGTTGTAATTCTGAAGTGCTGGGATGCATGTTGGGGTGTTAAGGTGCTGGGGTACATGGTGATATATGTTGGGGTGTTTGACAGGCTGCTGAGGTATAAGATGGGGTCCAGGATGCTGGAGTGACAAGGTACAGGGTTCCTAGGGTGCCAAAGTGCTGAGGTAGCTGCAGGAGTGATGGTGTGCTGTGATGTTGTATGTATTGGAGTACTGAAGCACGTGGTGGAGTGGACCAACAGCTGGACTTGTCTGACTTGGGAGGCTGAGCCTCTGCCTTGCCCTGTCCTAGGCCTGGACCCTCTCATGCTGGCCAGTGTGCTGGCCCAGTGCAGACACCCTGAGTCCTGACAGGGTGACAGGGTGCTTGCACTTAGACCCTAGGATTAGAATCCCTGTATGGAGACTATGTGGCCGTGAAGGCCTCCATCCTGGGCCTCAGTTTCCTCACATGCATCTAGATGCAGTGACAGATGCAGTGGGCTCATAGCTCAGGGCCAGGAGTGATGGAGGCCCTTGCTGGCCCCATGGGGCTCCCTCCCTTGCTTGAAGGCTGCTGTGGTGAGCACAGGGGTGGGGTGGGGTGGGATGGAGGGATGAGAGAGGCGGGGGTTGTGCGGCAAAGCGGCTGGCAGCCTAGGGCTCAGGACTTATTGCATCTTTTCACATCCAAATCACATTTCCGACTGGATAATTGAGTCATGGCCCTTGAAGTTCCACAGGCAGGTCCCTTCCCTGTGCCCTTCTCTTCAGCGGGCTCAGAGGTCCAGAGCCTGTGGTAGGGGAGGGTCACCCCAACACTGCCCCCACAGCTCTGGATGCCCCTGTCCCCAGGAGAGCTCTGCAAAGCACTGCTGTGAGTGTCCTGGGACAACCATGAGAAACTCAAAGCAGGGAGTAACCCCCCGAATTCATCGTCTTGCAGTTCAGGAGTGGTCACTCATCATTCCTGCTGGAAGCTCTGTGCCATCTCCCCTTTGTGCCATCCAGTGTCTAGTGATCTCTGGCTGTCCTGGGCTGGCAATTGTGGCACTCCCATCTCTGACTCTGTGGTCACAGGGCCACTTTCTCTTCATGTCCCTGTGCATCCTTCTTATCCGAACACTGGTCATTGGGTTTAGAGATCACCCTAGCATCTTAGCTCCGTTCCAGCTAGTGCTGCTTTCCCAGGTTCCCACCTGAACGTGACTTTTTGGGGCCACCCTGTGTTTTGGGGGCCAACCTCAGTGTTGCCCTTTCTCCCTCAATGAGTCCCTCCCTCTGGGCCCTGTCCTGAGCTTATGCCCAAGGTGCCGCCCCTCAGCTCCAATCCAAACTCCATGCACCACAGCCCCTGGCCAGACCAGAGGCAGCTTCAGATTGACCTGGACTCGCCAGGGACACCCAGACGCAGACCGTCCTTGCTGACCTCAGCCTCAGTCCCCACAGAGTACAGCCCTGGCTCCCCTGGGACTGTGAGCCAGCCCCAGGAAGTGGGGGTCATGGTCTTCAACCTTCCAACCCTGGAGGCCGGGGTACAGGGGTGACTGTGGTGCTTCATGCTGCATCATCATCCTCCCACAGGTCAGGGACAGTCCCATGCCAGCCCCTGCTGGGTGCAGCCCAGCTCCCCAGAGACCTTCTGCCAGATTCTCAGTGCCAGATGGGAAGAAGGGACCTGTCACTTCAACTCAGCTTCACAGAGGGCCCAGGTGGCCAGCATCAACCCAAGGTCACACAACTGGGGATGGGGAGCACTGATACATAGCCATCTGGCCTCCCCAGTCACCCAAGACTGCCCTTCCCCACCACCCCCACCTCTACAGGAATGACAATTCAAGGAATCTTGAGCTGATCACCTTCCAGGTGCCAGCGGGTGGCTTGTCCCCGCTTTGTCTCCCTGGGAACATATTAATAATGAAAAGACAAGGCACCTTCATTGAGGAAATGCCCCCGTTCCAGGGCCAGGTAGGGTGGAGATGAGTTATTCCTCCCTCGCACCTCCCTATGGGTCCCCACTCCATAACCCTGTGAACAGGATGGGGCCAGCCGAGGATGATGAGGCAGGCAGCATGGGCCTAAGGAGGCTGAATCAGGAGCTCTT